ATTAAGAGTAAATATATGTAAACAAAATTAAAAATAAAACAAAATTAATCACAGTAATCAATGTAAGTAGAGTTCTGTGGAGAACAGAAAGAAATGGTTAATTATTAGAAGTGAGGATAGATAGAAGGTTTAATGAAAAGATAGCATTTGAAATGAGCCCTGAGGATAAGTAGAACTTTGATAGCTGAGAATATAAAATACAGACTTCAGAGAACAATATGAACAAGGACATATTTTGTTCCAAAAAAACATGGGTTATTTGAGGAATGGTTTATAATTTGGTGTGGCTAGATTTGGATAAATAATACAAAATGAGGTTGGGAAAGTAGGTTGGGGCCGGAGAGTTGAATTAGAGTGGGAGAGACTGTAGCACGTTTCCTGTGCAAAGAGAAATGAATGCTATGGAATTTAGTAGCACTACTACTCATAGTTAACATTATTCCTCTCAGAACATGTTTATTGAGCCACTCATGTGATCTGTATATAAAATATGCAAGGTTTGATATTATGTCATCAGTATGTATTCCTGTTAGATGCTCTTTCATATTTATTCACCATTGTACATGCTATTAACACTTGTCTAGAATAGCCTTCCCTTCTTTTTCCCCTGTTGTATTTCTACTTGCTCTTTAAGACTGCTAACTCCATTGCTTAGATTTTCTAGTTGTCTGGCATAATTAGTAGTATGCTTTTTTCTGAGTTTTTATAGCTCTATGAACTTGTCTTTTAATTGTATTTTTAAATGTACTATTTAATGCACGGTTTTCTCTTGCTAAAGTTCTACTAAGGCAGAGACCTGTGGGATATTTTTTCTCTCCCATTTGTGATGTAGCCTTAAGTCTAGAATGATATAATGTATTTTTGATGTATTTATCATGTGTTTATTGAGTAAACAAAAGATACTCTTTGCTTTTCTCTGCTTTTTTCCTCTCTACTGTTTTATTGCCCTCCATGTTACTAAGAATAAATGTCAGTTGCATTAAAATGGAAATCTCTGTGGA